CAACAGCTTTTGCGAATCCTGTTCACCACGGAAGAAAGGGAGAGGATTCAACTTGAAGCGCAGAAGCTGGTACCCGGGGAAGACGGTCGACCCACTGTTAACCCTGACCTCATTAATGCAGCGTTTCCCCTGACTCGGCCTGATTGGGACTACAACGCGGCAGAAGGTAGGGGACGACTGCTCAGTTATCGCCAGACTCTAATGGCGGGTCTCCGGGCTGCAGCACGCAAGCCCACCAATTTGGCCAAGGTGTACTCGGTAGTTCAAGGTAAGACAGAGAGCCCTGCCACCTTTTTAGAAAGATTAATGGAAGCCTTTAGGCAGTACACCCCCATGGACCCCGAGGCCCCCGAAGAAATCCTGCCCAGGTATGGTTTTCCAGTAATGATAGGGTCAGACAATGGACCTGCATTCGTCTCTAAGGTAAGTCAGGGATTGGCTTCCGTACTTGGGGCAGATTGGAAATTACATTGTGCCTACCGGCCCCAAAGCTCAGGACAAGTAGAAAGAATGAATAGAACATTAAAAGAGACCCTTACTAAATTGACTATGGAGACTGGCGCTAATTGGGTAGAATTACTCCCCTACGCTCTGTACAGGGTTCGCAACTCCCCGTACAAGTTGGGCCTTACGCCCTATGAAATCACGTTTGGCAAACCCACACCTATCATACCTAATCTTAAATCAAACCTCATTCAATTAGACCAAGATAACAGCCTCTTGTCTTCTCTCAGGGCTCTACAGCGGGTTCATGAGGCCGCGTGGCCTAAACTAAGAGAACTGTATGAGACGGGGCCCCCACCCACTCCCCATCAGTATCGTCCAGGAGACTGGGTCCTCGTCAAGCGACACCGGCAGGAGAACCTTGAACCCAGATGGAAGGGACCTTACCAAATCATCCTGACAACTCCCACCGCCATCAAGGTAGATAACCTCCCTACCTGGATTCACCACACCCACATTAAGCCTGTCTGACCCGCTGTCTGACCTTGTGGGACACACTGATAGAAATACTACTTGGACTGTAGACCGGAGTAAGAAAAACCCCCTCAAACTAACCTTGCGCCGTGCCTTCCCTAAACATGTTCAAGATAGTGACCCTTGTCCTACTAGCCTCAACCTCAAACTCCTGGAGGGAGGACTAAATGCCCCCGTTGACAAACAGAAATTGTATGAAGCTCTGTATGGAAGGCCCTGTGATTGCAGAGGTGGCGTGGTTAGCACCATTGCCCTGCCACATAGTAAAAGAATAGTGGCCATCTCTGTAGGAAGAGGGGGTCTACAGCGAAGCTACACTCAAACCCAAGACTGTGGGACCACGACTGCTTACTTAACCCAGACCTGTGACACCACAGGACTCCAACAACAGCAGTGGTTATGTGTGAACAAACCCAAGCCCCTGCCCCCCATGACAAAATGCCCTTGCTCCACTTTCCAGGAGTCGGTGCACAGCTCTTGTTATGACTCCTATCAGCAATGTATAGGGCCAGATAACTCCACTACCTACTTTACGGCCATCCTACAGAGTAACAGGGCAGCGATAGCCAGTGATAACAATATGCAACTTCAAGCTGGCTGCTCTGGCTCAGTTGGAGCCGCCACCTGCTGGAACCCCCGAGCCCCCATACATGTGTCTGACGGTGGAGGACCCCAAGACACTGTCAGACAGATTGAAACGCAAACGAGGCTTAAGGACCTCGCAGAACATATGTATCCACGGCTTAATTCCACCCCCTAGTTCTCCCTAGGCACAGCCCTTACGAGTTAGACCCTCAGACAATGTCTATCCTAGAAACCACTTTCTTACTCTTAAACATCTCTAACCCGACTCTAGCCCAAGATTGTTGGCTTTGCCTACCCCAGCAAACTCCCCGACCCATCGCCATCCCCACTGAAGTTGATATCAGCATAACCAATGACTGCTTTCCTTCTTCCCTACCTGACCCCTTCCCCGTTCAATTCATTAGCCCGTTCGATGCCTCTTGCTTTATAAATAATCTTACCTCCCAGAATAACAGCATAGATGTAGGGATCGTATCTCTTGCCCAATGCCACCAGTACGTCACTATCAACTCCTCCTCCTGTAGTGCCAACACCACCGTTTTCGTCTGCGGAAATAACCTAGCCTACACCTATCTTCCCCACAATTGCACTGGAGTATGCATCCTGGCCACCCTGCTACCAGATATCGACTTAGTCGCAGGAAAAACCCCCATGCCCATCCCTAGTCTGGACTTTGTAACAGGCAGATCCAAACGAGCTGTGGCTGTTATCCCCCTCCCGGTAGGCCTAGGAATTACAGGTGCATTAACTACCGGGACAGCAGGATTAGGAGTCTCCATACACTCCTGTCTGCGACTCTCTCGTCAACTAATTGACGATGTCGAAGCCTTGTCAGGGACAGTCCAGGATCTGCAAGACCAGCTAGATTCCCTAGCAGAAGTGGTGTTACAAAATAGAAGAGGGTTGGATCTGCTCACCGCAGAACAAGGCAGCATCTGCTTAGCCCTACAAGACAAATGTTGCTTCTATGCCAATAAATCAGGAATAGTTCGGACCAAAATTAAACAGCT